CATTGTTAAATCCTTTTGTGGATGAATATTTAAGGATGTTAAGAAATAATGGCTGGAGGTGGTGGCTCATGCCAATACTCTCAGCACTTTGAGAGGCTGAAGTGGGAGGACTGTGAGGGCCTAGGATTTCAAGACCAGCCTGGGGAACATAGTGAGATCCTGTTTATACAAACACATTTAAAAAGGAAATAATTATACTACAAAATACTGAATATAATATATGGTATATATACACTACAAAATCATATCATCCCAGGTTTATATACGTGAAAGAGAGGTATGCTAAAATCAAAAAGAAATATTCTCTGAGTGGTTGAGTTACAAGTGATATTCTAAATTTGATTGTTAAAATAGATTTTTAAATGATAGGATATGGAAAAATTTTAGAAGGAAATACAAAAAATGCATAGCCTTTGCCTCAGGTAGTGGAATTATGAGTGATATCTAGTTTTGCTTTATGTGTTTCCATATTTTTGTCTCTTCTAATTATTCCTAGTTGTTTTAATTTTATTTTCCAAATTTCTTACTGTACCCAAAGGGGAAGACATTGTAAATTTTCTCCACCAGCCTGGCATTGCCCTGACTCTTTCCTTCTTAGTGTCACTTCTCGGTGGGTATCATGACCAATGCAAAGTGCTGAGGCACAGGGCCAGGCGGCCCGCGAGGTAGCCCTGAAGGGGCAGCGGTGTGTGGCTCCAATGAGCCAATCATTGGGAAACTAGCATCTTCTTGGGGCTGGGACAGGAGAGCTTTGTTGCTGGGACAGGAGGGCAGAGCAGAAGGAGAGAGGACAGGGGAGAGGCAAGGCCATTACCCTTGGTCAGCCTCTTCTTTTCTCTGCCAGGACTTTAATGCCTTAACACCCTAACACTCTCAGGTCAGGCAGGCAGCAAGACACATGCGGACAGTGAGATATAAAGCAGTGAGCGCCACAGATTCCTGAGACAGAACAGGCAGACTGTTCCCTCTCTGCGTATGTTTGTATTTAAATAGTCTCACATTCAGACACGCAACTTGGATTTGCTTCAGTCTTCTCAGGATGGGTGAGAAAAACACTGGAAATGCTCAAAACAAGGCAAAACAGAAGACACTTGTCAGGGTGGAGATGGCGTCCAAGTGAATGAATGTGAGACTGTTATCAGTGAATTGCATCCAGTATAATCAGATGTAGAGAGATTTTCTTCTGTGAGAATTCACCAGCAGGCAAAGGGGTTTATGAGGCTGAGTCAGTGTCCCTGCACTGGCAGTTATTTTTAATGAATTGACCCAGGATTTTCACATTCGTTCATTAAACATTTGTTCATTGAGCAAATATCTGGCTCAAATTCCAGTTCCACGTCAACCAGCTAT